CCGAGGGCACGTCCCGCAGCTGGGCTCGGCAGCTCCCCCCTCCCAGCCCCCGAGAAAGCTGAACGAGCGGAAATGCTGTCGAGGCTTTGCAACGTGAGACCGAGCAGATTTTTGTCTGGGCATGATGCAAGGCTGGCTGCTGGGAGAGGTGTTTCCACGCGTGCCGCGTCGCCTGCAATAGTCGGGTCGGGGTTTGGCTCTGAGTTGGAAAATTGGGGTGTCTCCTTCCCCGTAAGGGTTTCGTTCACCCGTCTGGTTGAATAGTTGCACGCACATATGTGCAGTGGATGAGACGGTCGCGGTGATGAGGGCTGCTCTACCTGTGGCAGCACCGTTCCGACTCCGGCTGCCTTCTGCTTCTCTTGTCTGGTGGGAAATACCAGGCACTAGAATCGGTCATTTGAATGTGTAACTATGCACCTAAGAGGAGATGCTTTTGGATTTTAGTTTGTTTCATGGTTTCCTTAATCTTGTCGGTCTTTGAAGTCCCAAGATGTGCTCATCAGCAGGCTTAAAGACTTTCCTCTGTTTTGCATTGTAAGTCATGCAAACGCTGCTCCTGTGCGCAGACCGGCTCACAAGGCGTGCAGGTAGAAATGAAGGCGCTTTTGTAAATTGGAGACTCTGCTCTGATAAAGTAAATGGAATAACTTAAGTTATCGGTTATAATATATGGAGAAATAAACCACCATGATAGTAAAAGGCAAAAGCTATATGTTTGCATATGCTCGTGCTTATAGGATTCATTTATACTGCTGCTTGGAGTTTGGAACACTCTTTGCGCAAGTGCTACTTTTCCTTCCTGGTCCTTTTGTTCAATCTTTTCTGGATGGATATACTTTTCCTGAAAAACTGGGTGGTGGTGGTTCACAGTGATGTTGCAATGATTAGGTGTGTTATCTACTGTTGTGCAGTCTACTCTACCCCTCCCCTGAAGACGTAAATGGGTCTTGTTTTTCAAACTTGTTTCTCCTTATGTTTTCCAAGAGTGCTGAGGACTTCACCTGCACCCTCCAGATAAGAAGCCCACTTTCCCTCCCTTATCCTATCCCTCCTCCTTTGCTATTCTCAACTTCTAGGAAGGGGAGGGCACCAGAATTTCTATCGGGGTGGCCCTGGAGCTTGCTGGAGGCCCCGTTTCTCCTATAAAACTCTGTCCACTGGCTGATAACGTATTTGGGGTGGAGTTTGCGTTTCTCCCTCTCCTCCTCTCTTGGAGCCCCCAGCAGCCGAGGTGGGTAGTTCTTCGTCAGTCCATCCCCTTTCCCCTGCCTCTCACAGCAGACTGAAGGAGAGGGGTGTGGATACCCAACACTTCACTGCTCTTCCCCAGCACCAGTTTTATTTTCAGCTTTTTCTCTTTTTATGCATTCATTTTATTGGGTTTGCTTATTTCGTGTTTTGCTGAACAGCGAATGCAGGAGATTGCTGATTCTTGAAAAATTTTGTTGCCTTGTGTGGCCCTGAAGAGCTGCCCTGAGACTAAGACGAGCTTTTGCAACTAAGGAGGTAGCAACAAAATGAAATTAATTAAATTTGGTGGGGTCATACGTTAAAGTTGGCGTCCTGAAGAGTTGGAAAGACATCTGCATTCACTCTGAGTTCTGCTTTTGTTACTTGCAGTGATAAAAGCACTGTTTTTCTAAACTGGGAGGAAACTCATTTGCCCCTTAGCAATAATAACTGCAACACAAATAATTTTGTGTGTGAAGTAAACTGTTAAATATTACACATACATGTCTGCATATATGGTATATCTATGTATAAGGACATGGTCTGACTGGTATACACAGAACTACATGTTCTCCCCTGCTTTGATGCACGCATTTCTGAAATGCAAAGAGGCATTATTTTATTTCTATGCAAACTTTGGCCTTTGCTTTCGTGCCACTGTTCTTACCTCACAGTTTTGATGGTGCTTATGTATGGAGACGTAATACTGGGATCTGGAAAACTGGCTTCAGCATGGCACTATACATGCATCTCTTTGCTGCTCAGGGTCTCTGTGAAGAGGGAAATGTTCTCACCCCTTCACAGAAACAATGCCCTTAGTTAACAGGGGAATTGCCTTAGTTAAAAGAGAAATTGAGAATCAATTGCCTTCAGTTTACTATTTGTTTAATAAAATACATGGAAAGTACTTACATGTGTTGTGCTTTGCTGCAAAAATGTATGTTGGTCTAGTTACAACTATAGCACCAAGGTGTTTTATAAATAAAAAGGGATATGAATTCCTTACATTTTTTTTCTCCCTGAGAATAATTACATAATTTTGATGTCTGCTTTAAAAATCAACACTTAATTTTACCCATTATGAGTTTCCAATTCTTTTTATTAGGGCTAATCTTACGGTAACCTAATGTGCGACTAAATTACTTGCAAACCTAACTATAAATTTAAGCGTTTTTGTATATGATAAACTGGACAGTGGATTCTTTTTAGGAATAAATGAGGATGTGATCCTGCAGAGGTCAGGGTATACCAAACTAATACACGTTCTGCATATAATAGCAAACCGTCCAAAAAAGTAATTGACTTTTACGTACGTACTCTATTTATGCAAGTATGGAGGTTCACTGACACTGAACCATAATCTATGACGTCTCCACTAGGCTTGGAGTTAGTCTAACCTTTTGATGAAACTCATCGCTTTTAGCTCCAGCTGGGTAAAAAAGCACCGTTGTTAGGTGCTGTAGTGAGTTGTATTTCCTGACAAACTCATAACCACCTGATGACATCTCGTTCATGAACCGAATGTGTGCAATGCTGGTGGGTACCATAAGTGGCGATAGCCTAACCTAAAAGTGACAGTGGTATGTATCGCATATGTTACACAGGTAACCCTGTGTCCAAAGTAAAGGCACGCAGTCTTCAGAGCAGATGGTTCAGGTTTTTGTCCTAAATCTCGGTTGCAATGGCTTTGATTGTTAATAGCTACTAGGTAATCTCCTCTAGTAAAAGAACATTTTCCCATCAATAGGGGGGAACTTCATAAGTTCAAAAATTGGTATATTTAACCAAGTTCCTTCAGTAAATTAAAAAATGAAAGGAGGTGAATCGTTGAGTTACACATTCCTGGGTATGTCCTAAAGTACATAATTAGAAAATTAAACTGTACGTTATGTCGAGACAGAGGCATATAAACCATATAAAATGCAGAAGAAATTTTCACCCTGGAGATCCCACAGGCTTAAATCTCATTGTATGACATGCATTTGAGCATCATGTCCACGTTCTTCCAACTGTAATGTGTTATTTTCCAAGAGTCATACTCAAAGTTTGCTTTGGGATGGGGTCCTTAGTGATGCATTGAACGATAATTGTATGAAGTTGCTGGTAGATAATCCAGTAAGAAATACCTCTTGATATATCCAACTGGTAAAAAATAAGCTGATTTTTTTTGCTATTTTTCTGTATATTTTGAAAGGTCAGATTTCTATCCGTGTAATGTTACTGGCAGATGTTTAATCACCAAAGCAAAAGATGATTTTGGTGATCTGAGCTAAGGACAAGTATGAAAGCAGGTACAATGTCTTTTTAGAACTGCAGTTTATTGTTGAGTAATTAGCTAATGCCAGAATCACAGCCTTGGGTCCTCTTTTTGGCACATACATCTTATTTATGAATGCAAATCATTCATATTATTAGTGTACAGTAACTATAGTTATTGCTGAGATGAAGCAATAGGACCAAGTAGTTAAGCACATAAATATATTTTGGCTTTCTTTGGCTGAGGAATATCCTAAGCACTAAAATTAAGTAGCAATAAGCTTTTTCTTAGCATCCTAAATTGCAGCAGTTAGTTAGGTATAAATGATGGAGTGGTGCTTCTTCAATTAATAAAATGGTTCATTTCATCTCTAACTACAAGGTACTAGGATCTAAACACAATTAAAATTATACCATTTGCTAAACTGTATGTAATTAAAATATTGAATAGCCTTGATGAGCATTTGAGAAGTGAGAAGAATTAAGTTTAAACAGCTTTCTGTTTCAAACCAGTAGGATTTTTATCTTCTTAGAAGTGGTTTGATTAATGAGTTTAGTTAACGGAGTCATTAACAAAAGGACTTTTTAAAAAAATGCAAGACCGAAGGCCCTTGCCTTTGTTCTACCTGAGGTTTAAGTCTTAGGCTGGTCTTTACAAGCTACTCCTTCCCTCTTCCATTTTTCAGTGCTGCTCAGCGGAGAGTCAGGCTCTGCCCAGGTGGCTGAGCAGGCGGTTTCCCCACAGTGCCGTGGGACACTTCCCTCCCTGATTTACTGCCGGGGCGCCTGTCTTATTTTAGCACCTGTGAGTTTCTGAGCTATGTTGACTTCTATTGAAGTTGAGGAGAGAAAACTGCCTGACAACTTTTGATGTTAGGCCATTAATCACAGCGGAATACATTTTAATCCTTTTTGTCATCATGTTTATTTAAGTGCTAAGCCATCCAGAAAGACCCAAACCAACAGGCTGATCTTTACACCGCGATCAGTTACCTTCCGTATAGGGAGTTATGAGGATTTCCAGTGATGCAGGTGTTACAAGACCAGGTTCTGATGCTCATAATTAAGTTTTTCTTATATCCAGTCTCTCTTAGTTGATTTATTATCCTTTTTACCTGTGATAAGCCTTGAGGAAAAACAGGTGCTATGCTCTTTATAATGCTGAGAGATCATTAGCCTGGCAGACTTTTCCCTTTTCTTTTTCCTTTTTCCTTTTTCCCTTTTTCCTTTTTCGTTTTTCATTTTTCCTTTTCCCTTTTCCCTTATCTTACCCTCTTTTCCATCCCAAACCTTGTTTCTTATCTTAACCTTATAGAACATACTCCCCAAGCAACTTATTGTTCCTGTTTTTTTCTTCTATGGCCTCTTTTCTCATTGTTTATTATTAAAATATGGTTCAACAATGGCACATATATTCTTGATGAGGACTCTCTGATGTTTAGTATATAAGAGCAGACACCTCACACATCTCACCAATGAAGCTTTTCTTACTATTTTAGAATGACATTTGCCATTTTTCTCATGTCCATATTGTTGATTTACAGAGACAATGCTCTTCAGCTGACTTTTGGCTTAGCTTGCATGGAGAGAGGAAGGTTAACTTGAGATTGCTAGTATTGATTAACAGCTTCTTTAGCATTTTAATTTCTAGCTAACTCTGGTGAATGGTAGTGCAAGTCTGTGTCTGGAAGATCTATTCCGAAATCCAAACCTTGTGCAGGCACCACTGTCCTGAGCATTCCTGTTCTTTGCTGATTTTGTCAGAACCATCTGTCGTTCGTTTTAGTGGCCAGCCCAGCCCAAACCATGACAACTAGTGTGTGTGTGTGCGTGTGTAGACTTTATGCTTAGAGGGTGACTTTCTTGTGTTGTGACAGCTGGTTTGCAGGGTTGATGGGTTGGGAGGAGGTGATCGGTTGTCAGTGATGCTGAGGTTATAGGCACTGCCATCAGGCCCCAGGAGAGTCCACGCACCACTCAACCTTTTCACCTTTTTGGCATCTCCCCATCTCATTCAGCATTGTCAGTAGAAGATGTGTTCTCAGGTCTTTTGCAGCCAATGACTAAGGTATAAAAAAACCCTTAATGCAGGGATTTTGGACAGGTAAGAGGTAATCCTTAAAGACATAACGAGACATGATACTAAGCAAAAATGGCATGTTAAAAATTTATTGGGGAACAGTACTTGTTGGATACAGGATGCTTGATTTGAATGAGCATTTGTTGAATATGTCTTGTGCATAGTTAAGTCTTAACTGTGAATAAATAAATATCTACCTACTGCATGTGGCCTTGTTCAAAGGCCAAATAGTTAGATACACCATGCAAGGTAGATAAAGAGGTCCTGAGAGCTGCTGTTGCAATGTGTTGCAGCAAAAATAGCTGAATATTTTGATCTGTGTTTTTCTGATGCACCCTTTTTGCATTTAAAAGGTGCAAACAAGAACAATTCAAGCAGAGTCTTCTTTCATTTGAAGCAGGGTGCTGCCATCAATTTAGACTTCTCCAATGTGTTGCAGGGCCTGCCCACTGGAAGGAGGTCTTTCCTGTTGCTAATGGAGACCGTCAGTCACCCATCGACATCAAAACTGAGGAAACCAAGTATGATCCCTCTCTCCGTCCTCTAAATCCAAATTACGATCCAGCTTCTGCTAAAATCATCCTTAACAATGGACATTCCACCAGTGTTGAGTTTGATGACACCGTCAACAAATCAGGTTAGTTCCTTTGCTGTTGCGCTGTGTCTTCTTCCACCATTTCCTGAATAGAGTGCATACAGCCTGGGCATGTCTCACTGCTGGGTATGAACTCCTCATAAACAGTAAGGCTTTGCTACTGCAGATGAGAGATTCCTTTTTTCCCTTTCTTTCAGCATGATACAATGTGGGGACATATTTGGACATGAGTTGGAGGCTGCGTTTCTCAGAAAGCACTAGAATTCCCTTTTCATAGGGGTGGTTTGATCCACCCCAACCTGCTAGATAGTGCCAGTCCCCCTGTTTGAACAGTGTTGTGTGCAATTTTTCAAATGCTGCTCTCTCTCACTGCAGATGAATCCTTTGTGTCTCATTACAGGTTCATTCCAACTGAATCGCTCAAGTCTCTTATCTTGACTTTAGCTGCAGGTTTGGTTATATATTTTTTCCCTTTTTTAGAATCCATACCTGGACTTCTTGTGTCAGGAAAGAGCCAATACAGAACAAATGGAATGTATCCCTTTTCTTCTCTGAAAAGTGTTATTGTCCCAGCCTTTTCTAGGAGTATGCAGCTTCCCTTTTTGCAAGCAATAACTCTTATTTAGAAGTTCTCTGGTTTAGCATAGTTTTTTTAATGTTAGTGCCTTCATCTTTAAAACCTTCTCTTAGATGGTAGGCAAGCTAGCACACCTCCCCTTGAAACTGTAGGAGTATAGATTCTTCAAGCAATAAAATCCTCTTGTGGTTGCACGAGGCTTAGCTGAGGATCCAAGCCCGTATGAAGTTTTCACAAGGGTCAAAGACAAAGGAGGACTGATTTGTGATCACCCTGTCCATTAGTCCTGAGGACCTACTAGCTTATAGTGGCAACAGGGAGAGGCATAGATGGAGACAGCATCATACTTTGCTTTCCTGGACAGTCTTAGTTTAATTCTTAAATTTCCTGTTGATACAAGCAACATTGGATGTTGCCTGAAAGCCATCAGCTGATCGTCAGTGATCTGGTCTGACCTTGCGCGTGTCAGATGCCACGGGACTTCCCAGAATTAATCTCAGCTTCAAGCCTAGTAGGCGTGGGTGAACTAAAGCACATCTTTTAGAAAAACATACAATCTTGATTTCAAAATTTCCAGCGATGACGAAACTACTACAGCCTTTGGTAAGTTGTTCTAATTGTTAATTACCCTCACAATTAAAAAAAATCAAAACCACACTTTATTTCTGATGTGAGTTAGATCAACTCAGCCTTTAAACTCCTTTTTTTTTAAAAAAAAAAAAAGAAGTAATAAATATGAATATGAATACACCAAGAACCTCTTCCACTTTCATGTTCCATCCAGTGACAGGGCCTGATCATAGTGTTCCTGTAGGCTTACACTGGTACCAAAGCTGGTATCACCAAAGTGGTAATGTCATCCTCTTCTTACTGCTTTCCTCAGGCCATATCTCCAAGGAGATAGTT